TTTGTAAACTAAACACAACTTGGGGTATTTATAGAAACTCATGTGTTATCTGCTCTGTGTACCAGAATCCTTGAAAAACCTGAGCTGGCCAGTAATATCAATACTGAAGCGCTGGGAAACCTGCTTCCTGACGACTTACTGAAACCTCTGGAGGAGCAGTACCTCAACAAACAACAGGTAACACAGTGTATCTAAGACATGTATCCAGTTAATCAGTATGGTCAATGCAGGGCTTAAAGTGAGTTGTGTAAATGCAGCATCGAAGAGTTGCTGGTTTTGACGGATATTTTTTTATACATAATATTGTAGATGTAATTAGGGATGGACCGATCCGACATACAGTATCAGTATCGGTCCAATCCTGACCTAAATTACTGGATCCGATATTGAGAAATAAAAAGTGTAATCCGATCTATTAACTATCACAAAACCACCTCACAAAACTTGCGACATGGCGTAACTCAGCTAAGTACTTTAGCACGTTGGAGCAGTAGGCGTCACTAGATAGAGCGGAAGTTGTGTGCGAGACCTGTCAGCGGTCTGGAGTTATTTCACACTGAAAACATTTGTGCTTCCAAACCAGCATTTCATCAAACAGCAGTGTTGCAAGCTAAACAGTTTCGTGGTTCAAAAAAAAAAAGTAATTAAGAAAACACTTTTTTTCATATGTGTTTTAAGTTTTGTATAGAAATTACACAAAATTCAGTCTCAGGTTAAATGTGATACAAACAGCTTACGCTGACGTCATGAAGCCGTGTTTGCATCTGTTTCCACTGCTTTCCACTCTGGATGTCTATTTATGTTCAGCTTTAAGCATAAAAGGGTCCCTTATACAACCTGTTTTTTTTTAGTTGTTGAATATAAACATTATTTTGTGCTGATGTTGCACTTCTTTTATTTCAGAACCAAAGAGTTTTTGAAATGTGCATAAAATTGCATTTTAAATTACTTTTTGAATATTAGTTTAAATACTTAGATTTAAAGTTGTGCTAAAAGTTTAAATAAAAAGATTAGTATTGCTGAACTGCAAAATATTTTGGGTGCAGTGTATTTTTTGCATACAAGTATAATAGAATAGCTTTAGTGTTTTGTTTTGTAAAGCTTGAGTATGAAC